CGACGTGAACATGCACCAAAGTTTAGAATTCAACACACTAGCTCGTTGCAATTTATGATGGTTAATAAGATTTGTGGGAAAACGAGCAGCAATTGCAGAATTAGCTTCATAGGAGATCAGAAAACGAATTACGGTAGCTGTCTGCGAATGATAGTCAGGACCTCGCCAATACCGTAATCGTTGTCAATCTCAGGCACTCCTTTTGGTCCAGCGGAATTTGAGGAAACAATTTTCACAAATGGTTACACACGTACTCCACATCAGACATCCCGACTTCAACCGCCGAACTACGGTAGGACTACGGTAAGTAAGAGCCTTCGTCCTGAATAATATGACCGCAATTCTTTCCAGCCAATGTCTGCTTCCTCAGTCTGAACCTCTAATATCAGAAGTCCAAAAATGCGGCACCAAACTGGCAACTCTCCAGGGTTAAAAAAATGGAACTAATCGAAAAATTTTTTTTGACTAAATTTGATTTATCTGCGCTTATTTGAAATAGTCACAAACTCAACATACTGTGAATAAGGCCTGACACTTGTATCAACTGGATGCTAGGAAAGCAGGAAAGGAAACAGGAAAGGAAAGCTAAACAAACACAGATATTGCTCAATGTTCGCTGTGCCGTGAGATCAGGTGATCAGCAAAAAAATACAACTTTTGCGGTAACACTCCGTCTTAGCTGTTAAGAGAATTTTATTGCAAGCGGAACAATAAAAATCATTTGCTCCACTGATAAAAGCGGGTAAATCACTCTTACAATGAAGCCGCTTTGTGGAAATCGCGTGCAACTCAAAAAAATTTCTTGGCTTCAGGGGGAATGCTAAAACTGAACTGTTTAGAAAAACTTGACGAGATTTCGCATTTCAAAGCATACAGAATACTCAGTGATTGTTATAAAGTACAGCTGAAACTTTTGATGGCACTGAATTGAAATAAGTTCATTTTCTACGTAATATTCCATCAAGTTCAGAATCTGCTCTGTTTCGCTACTTATGACAATTTTGATTGCGTGAGGCAACATTCTTCAAAAAATGAACTTTTTGGAAGAATGTTGCTTGAACTTTTTGCGCGTAAAATGGGATTCGAGTGGAATTACGAAAGAGTTGATGATTAGCCATACATTAGAGCCCATTGTGGGGGGATGAGTCATTCTCAAAAATTCGTTAAATTGCTTAAGATGGCATTAGTCAGTCTTATTATTCTGGAAAGACTAGACTGCGAACGTTCTTATTTTCAAACACCGCTTGCTCATGCAAAGAAAATGCAGCTTTTTCTGTTCGCTACGTACCAAGTGACTGTGACATACTAGATGACGAAGGTAGCAACTGCGTAAAAACATTTTTAGACGATATTTACCTGCCCAAAAAATACAATACTGCAAAAGATAAGGGTGTGGACTAACAAGACTCGTTGTACAGATATCAATCCATTCAAAAAAAAGTTCAGCTATTACTAACAACACAATCCACCGAGCGGCGTTTAATCTCGAAATAATTCCTGAACTAAAGCAACTGTTCTATTACAGCTTCACCTTCTCATCCTTTTCAACGCTCTAAAAATATAATAGCAAATAGGTCGTGTTTGAGTCAATTTTTCCATTCCATTATTTTTCAAAGCAAAAAGACGGTTTTTTCCCTATCTTTGCTCAAGAAGTATCGCCTCCAGCTTGAGAAAAACACCACCAGAATACAAAAGTGCTCACCGAAACATCATCGTGACTGAATCGCCAGTCTTTGCAGACACATAGAATGCCTTCAGATCATGTCGTTTGGCAAATGCGCAGTGTGCATCTACTGGAACTTTACGAAGTCGTTCTTCGTCGACTTTGTTGCCAACAATGAAAACATGTGGAGGCTGAAATGCAGGGTTTCGATGTATTTCACTCTGTAAGATGAGTTCTGTACGTTCATCATATTTATCTTTGGTCAATTCCAAGTTCATGATATTCATATGACAATTCCCTCGAAATTTAATAAACATAGGATATCTTCCAGTGAAAGAAATAAGATAAAA